CTCTCTTCAGTCTTTTAAGATTGGAGTTTGTGCATATTGGCTCATTTGGTTCTTCCAGCTTTCCTGTTTTCTTATGAAACCAAAAATGGATATTACATTTCTACTTTCTGTTCTTTGCCACTATTTCCCTCCAAAGGCAGCTTATTCATCATAGGCAACTGTCTTTTACAGAATGGTGTTAGCTTGACCAAAAGAAGAATCCTGTGATAAATAAGAGAAATTTAAAGGCTAAATCATATCATATTTAATCTACTTTACTACATACTCACAGGGTACTTAAAGAGAAGGCCAACCGATAAGTGCCCAAAATTCAGATTTCATAACACAACTACTTATCTCAGTAGTTTACTAGCATCAAGAAAATATCAGCAGATCAAACAAATGACTTAATTGAAGAAGGAAAATGCGGGTTTGAGGTCTACCTAGTCTCAGATACACACCAAAGGTATCCTGTGACTGTTGTGCAGAATCTTGTATTTCTTCCTCCAACAAAGCATTTTCACACTCACAAGTGTCATAATTTTTTTACCAAGCAAAATCAACTTTTGACTTAGCCCTTCAGTTTTCAACTTGTAAGAGTATCAATGCATTCAGGACAAATGTTCAGAGAACAAAAGCAAAGAGAGTGGGGGAAGGCACTCAAAACTCCTTAGAGAACAATAAGTTTCTATGAGGTGTGCCAAGAATCAAGGAAGTATCACAAAACTCAGTGCAACACAGGAACTAAGAGAGAGACCGCCACAAGCTAGCCTAATAGTGAAAAAACTCTCATGAATGAGATGGCCTCTCAGCCGGTCTGCTGCTGAGGTACGAGGATTTGAATGCTGCAAGCAAGTCATCCACAGGAAGAACCAATGCTATTCCAAACTGAGAGCAACAAACAGGGGCCTCAAGGCGGAACCATGTGTGGTGTCTTGATTGAAAGTGAAAAGGAAGGCCTGCTTGTAATTAAGCAATATTTTAGGAAATGCTAAACGTTTTCACTGAATTTTGTGCTGCTCATATTTTAATTTTTAGTATCATCAGGCTCCATATTTTATGGGATAATAACTTGAAACACAGAAAAGCTGAGTGTCTTGCCCAAGGCCATGTAATTACTTTATGAGAATGCGGCTCTCCTTCTACCCAGCCACCCTCACCGCAGGGGGCATGGGGTTGGCTGGACAGGAGAGAGCCAGGTTATAGAAAAGACTTAATCCAGCATAGAAGCTGGAGCATGCTGATGAGGTAATGACAACACTGCTTCCATAGCATTAATCACGCCACCGTGAACAAACTAGATCTCAAGTGACACAATGAGGAGCCAAAAAAAAAAAAAAAAAAAAAGACTACAGAAGCTGGTGAAATCATCTTGGGGAAAATATCTGAAAGCCAAGATATGATAAAAATTAGTCAGTTCTTGGGTAGTAGAAAATGGATAAAATGAGCTTTAAAAACACAAATGGAAGCAAGTGTCACAGAAAAATGGACAGCGAGTTCATCATAAAGCAGGCTAAAAGTTCTTTCCCCTCTGCTCTCCTCTCTGGCCATTTTCTACCCTCTAACCCTATCCTTTCATCCTCCCTCCCTCTCCACCCCCTCTCTCTCTGTGGGTGTGAGTGTGAGTGTTCATGTATACACACATGTGTATGTACCTGCCTGTGAAGACGAAAGGTCAAAGTTGGGCGTCTTCCTCACTGTCCACCTTATCTTAGAGACAGCGTTTCTCACTGAACCTAGAGTTTACCAATAAACTTGACCAGTTGGTCAGACAGCCTCAGGGATCCACTTGTTTTTCACACAGATTCTGAGACTGACTCAGCAAATACAAGCACTTCCGCAACTAAGCTGTCTCCCATGACCCATTCTTTCATATTTTGCAGCCCTGAGTGGGTTAAGCTGTAAGAAACAGAAATCAGTGATAAAAACAAAAGTACCTGCCTACCTCTTTTTCTATGCCTGCCATCTCCTGTCCTAATGCATTATATTAATTAACTCATTAGGCTCCCCAGGTAACTCCATAGAGAAAGCAAAGTATTCCTACTTTAGAGCAAGGAAGCATGGGCCAAGCTACACAGTTAATAGTGAGCTGGTTTATAATCCAAGCAGTCTGATTCTAGAGTCTACCCCCTGAATCTTCACCACCTTCCAAAGCTACCAGGCAATTTCCATCTCAGTACAGACAAAAGCATTGGAGCAGTGGTGACATAAGATTATCTGCAGATCTTTTTTTAATCTCTGCAGATTTAAGATTATTGAATTTTATAAATTTCCCAATGAACAGGCATGGACCTTATCAATACTTTGTCATAATTACTCAGCTATACACCTCTCTCACAGACTCCCTTAGCATTCTGTCCATATCCTCAAATGTAGCCTAGATTGCTCCATCGCTCTCCTTGGTCCGTGGGTATGTTTGCTTGCCTCTCCAGGGAGCAGGAATTCTAACTTAGTCACCTATGTAAACCCAGGTCATATTGCAGGTGCTCAATTAACCCTGTTGAAGAGATGAATAAATTAAGGAGTATGAATATGGACGACGTGTTCCAGTCAAACTGGTCCACTTCGAGTCTCCACCTGCTTGATGTCTTTCAGTCCTCACTTCCCAGAACAGTCCTCTCTCTGCTGTCGCACACACTGAAAACTCCAACCCACCTTTCACAGGTCTCAGCTCAGTTCCACTTGTACCATGAAACTAGTCCAGTGGCCTCAACAATCTTGAGTGTCAGTTCAGTGTCATGGGAACTAGCATCTCTGTCACCATGCCTTTGATTCCAAACCAGATTCTAGCACAACTAGCTGTGCTCCTCTGGGATAACTCCTATAAATTTCTAAGGTTTAGCATTTTCTAGCTATAAAATTAGACAAATAGTACCTTTCTGAGAGAACTAAGGGAAGACTGAAAGAAAACCATCTGAACACCAGGCATGCTAGAGAAATGAGGGCTCCTGCCAGCCCCCACACTCCTGTACCATTCCGGTGGCACTTAAGTGGCAGTACTTAGATTTTCCCTTCAATGTCTGGAGAGATCTTTAAGGACAGGGAGGGAAGCTCATGCACATACTTTTGAAGATCTCCACATGCCTCACACAGAAACACAGCAGACACGGAGGACAAAGCGATTATGAGGTAGGCTGTGACAATCACATGTGGGTGATGGCAGGGCTAGACTCAGACATTTTCATGCAGCTATGCTGTAGAATTATCACATGGCACCTCTGTGATTTCACTCATGTCAAAGACTCAATTCAGCCAGTAAGTGCTCCCATGGAAAGATGGCTCTCTCCATACTACCTTTCAAATCCATCTTAAACGAGATTGGGGTTTGTATGGGTTTCATTGGCACAGAAAATAAAAAGCTAAAACTAAAGCAAGCCTAGGAAAATCAAAATCCCAAATCTGTGGTGGTTGTCAGTAAAATCAAAAGCTCTTTGCTTTTTCCCTAAGATTCAACACCCAGGCTTCCCCTCTCTGAACCTGCCAGAGTCCTCTTTTTCCCCAGATTTGTCATGACCTCCATTTATTGTACGTTATCTTCGCAAGAATCAGTTCCCATGCTTAGGGCTTTTTGTTTCTTTCTTTGTTGCCCTACTTGCAGGTGCTGACAAGTTAGAGGAGCTGCAATCTGTTGGTATAACCCGCTGCCTAACAAGCACTCTTCACTAATGCGCTCGCTTTCCCTGCAGAAACTATTTCTGTAGCTCTCGCTCTGTGGGATGTGCAGCTACAAATTTAATTTGAAACAGCAATTACTAATGGAATCCTGCCGAGTCCCTGTGCTTTCAAGATTTTCCTGCTTCCATCTTCTTTTGGTTTTGCCTTTTCCTGTGGGGGAAAGCATGGGGTGAGAATTGGAGTCTAACACCAAATCCAGTGCAGCAGAATAGTAGAATAAAGCAAAGCCAAGACTCGACCACACTTCAGCCAGCTACCATTAGGAAAAGCCGCCACCTCTCTCACCTTCCAACACAAAATTGACAAGAACTGCTAACCCTGTGTCAGTAGGTTACTCTAGAGACTTTAAATTACCCTACCTTAAAAGCATTACATAATTCTAAACCATGTGTGAATCTATAAGTATGAATGTATGTATAGTATATTTTAACAAAAGCAATAGCATAGCCCATGGGTATTACAAAACAATTTTATATCATGTAAAGTGCCAATTAAATACTTTACTAGATGTGTGTTTTGCTTGTTTACTGACAAGGAAAATCTAGCTTGAGGACAGAGGTACGAGTCTGGGTTCTAAGTCTCAAAGCAAGCACATTCTATAACCTGGGTTTATACTGTTGCAAGAAAACTATTACTTGCAGCCAAATAGACCCAAATTCTCTCTCTGTAATCAGTCAGAGCTTAAAGCACTGCAGGTTAGTTTGTGGTCTCAAAGTTTCTGCACAGTGGTCTTCATATGGACCTTAACCATGAGTTTAAAAGTATGAAATAACCCAGAAAGCTTCATGGTTTCATACTTAAAATAGTAGTATCATTACATTTGAATATTCCTTAGTTATTCCTTGTGTATAGTTTCCTAGGCAAAAATATAAGTATAGTCTCATTTACCAAATAAAAATCATCTACATAAGAGATTATATGTGTGTGTGTTTATAATGCATACTATGTGTGTATGTGTGTGTGCATGTGTGTTTCCTAAATTGTGTTTCTTAAACATGGCAACTTTCAACACTAATAAAATAGTTCAGCATATTCTGTCTTTGTTGTTTACTTAGTTAATAATCCTTATTACAGCATGATTACAGTAAACACTTGCTACTTACTGCAATTCTTAAAGCTGTTTAAAATATCAATCTGAAAATTCTTATTTCAACTATAATCTGCAATCAGATTTCCTTTTCCATACTTAGAAAATACTGAATACAACCTAAATTAGCATTAGAAAAATCGTTACCCAATGGTCTCCCAAAGGTAAAATGTACTCATCTGAACTCCACCCATTTTCAGTTTCAACACAGTAAGTCTCCTGCTGTACCCAGGGCAAATTTAAAAGCATTGAAAAGGTATTGGTTATTACTGCATATAATTTATGCAATCATCAGTCAAACATGCTAAGCTGGCAAAAAGAAAACCGTACAAGCAAGCAAACCCGAAGCCCTATGAGACACACCCTCTCAGTATATAAAGGCCTGTCACTGTCCTTGGTAGCAGGCACTCCCTGGGCTACACTGCTTCACCATGTCTGTCCGATACAGCTCCAGCAAGCAGTTCTCTTCCTCCCGCAGTGGAGGAGGAGGAGGAGGTGGAGGGTCATCCCTCAGAATTTCCAGCAGCAAAAGCTCCCACGGTGGAGGTTTTAGCTCAGGGGGCTTCAGCGGTGGCTCTTTTAGCCGTGGAAGCTCTGGTGGTGGTTGCTTTGGGGGCTCATCAGGTGGCTATGGAGGTTTTGGCGGAGGCAGCTTTGGTGGAGGCTATGGAGGAAGCAGCTTTGTTGGAAGTTGTGGAGGAGGCGGCTATGGAGGAGGCGGCTTCGGTGGAGGCAGCTTCGGTGGAGGCAGCTTCGGTGGAGGCGGCTTCGGTGGAAGTGGCTTTGGAGGAGGCATTGGTGGTGGATATGGAGGAGATGGTGGCGGCCTTCTCTCTGGAAATGAAAAGGCAGCCATGCAGAACCTGAACGACCGGCTGGCTTCCTACCTGGACAAAGTCCGGGCTCTGGAAAGGTCAAACTACGAGCTGGAAGGTAAAATCAAAGAATGGTATGAAAAGTATGGCAACTCAAGCCAGCGAGAGCCCCGGGACTACAGCAAATACTATCAAACCATTGAAGACCTTAAGAACCAGGTAAGGGGCATTTTAAATTCCAGCTTTAAATCATTTCTACCCATGTAATGGCGACAGATGAAACTGAGCTAAGCATAGCATGGCTGATCACTGTGTCCTGTTATTTTTCCATGTCTGCTGTAACCAAGTCTCATCAAAGATTTTATGAAGGCATGGGATGTCTATCTTCATCCAGCATGTGCATTGCCTGTCTTCCAGGGTGATAGACAACTGAGAACCTTTCAGGTTTTAACAAACATATAATACATTTAAAATATGCTAGATCATGTACAAATGTATGAACTAAAAGAATTTTAAATGGATATATGTGTGTGTATATATATACATACATACATACATACATATTGAGGTTGATAACAAGTAAGCCATATCCAGCACCAACAATGCAGGAACCACCAACTTTCCAATATTGAAATGATATACTCCTGTCTCTAGGGAATCTGTAAACCACATCTATAAATTCAGATTATATGCACTTACAAGAATTTATAACAAATTAAACAAATACACATGTGAGTCGCTCACAAAGCTGCAGTACAAAGAAAAGTCACAAGCCATAAAGGAAAGAGTCATAATTGCAGGAATACACCTACATAATACCAGCCAATGTTCAGAAAGGAATCATGGCTACAGAAGAACTGAAAGTGCAGGGGAAGATTTTATTATATATTGTACTATAGATGGCAAGTTTGTTATATTCTATGCTTAAATTAGCCTCCCTCAAAAACTCTGGAAGAGAACTATATAAAAATGCAATATACCTATGCGGCTCTATAAGCCATAAGCCCTCCTGACCTTTTGTCTCCCTCCAGATCCTCACCCTGACAACTGACAACGCCAATGTCCTGCTGCAGATCGACAATGCCAGACTGGCAGCTGACGACTTCAGACTGAAGTACGCTAAGTGAATGTGGTACAAATAAAGGGGGTTTCAGCAGCCACCTTGGATGCCCATGACAGCGTCCATAGCTTCCTAAACTCACCCAGAGTGAGACAATCCTGAGCTGCCAAAGAAAGTCTGAATTGTAGAAATGTCTTCTGGGTAATCTTCAAAGGAAGGTTTTAAAGTAACAGTTAACTCTTTGTATCGAACTATTGGTATTCCCTACATGAATTTGTGCATTACATAAGTTTTTGTCCAGGTTGTATCTTCCTGGGCCTGCACCTCCAGTGTCTGTATCCTGCTTGTTTCAGGTATGAGAATGAGGTCGCCCTGCGCCAGAGTGTGGAGGCCGACATCAATGGGCTACGCAGGGTGCTGGACGAGCTGACCCTGAGCAAGGCTGACCTGGAGATGCAGATCGAGAGTGTGACTGAAGAGCTGGCCTACCTGAAAAAGAACCACGAGGAGGTGATACAAAATTACACTTCCCCCTCAGGGGAAAAAAAAAAGTTCATCTTGGTCATGGTGCATTCATTAAATCTAACTCTTCCTCAAATAGGAAATGAGAGACCTTCAGAACGTGTCCACTGGTGATGTCAACGTGGAAATGAATGCTGCTCCAGGAGTCGACCTGACTCAGATGCTGGACAACATGAGAAGCCAGTATGAACAACTTGCAGAAAAGAACCGCAAGGATGTAGAAGCCTGGTTCAATGAGAAGGTAAGGTAATTCCCCTTCTCAGCGAAGCTCGTGGAGGTTTTGGTATCATGCCCGGATGTTCTCATCTTTGCCGGTTTCTAATCCTCTAGAGCAAGGAACTCACCACAGAAATTGACAGCAACATTGAACAAATGTCCAGCCATAAGAGTGAAATTACTGAATTGAGGCGCACTGTTCAGGGTCTGGAGATCGAGCTACAGTCCCAGCTGGCTCTGGTATGTTAAATCTTGTAAAACGGCTTCCATTTTATCCTGCAATGTTTCATACTAAAAATGAGTTGGGGGCAAGGGAGTGGAACCGAAATTGCAGCTTGGGGGAGGGGGAGAGACTGTTAGCACTGAGGCAGTGCTCAAACTGCAGGGCTGCCAATAGGCACAAACCCTACCCATTTCCCTTCCATGACGCCTTACTGAAGAATTTCCATGTTCCATTGACTTAATAAAACTTTCTTCTCAGAAACAATCGCTGGAAGCCTCCCTGGCAGAAACAGAAGGTCGCTACTGCGTGCAGCTGTCCCAGATCCAAAGCCAGATCTCTGCCCTGGAGGAACAGCTGCAACAGATTCGGGCTGAGACCGAGTGCCAGAACGCCGAGTATCAACAACTCCTAGACATTAAGACCAGACTGGAGAACGAGATCCAAACCTACCGCAGCCTGCTAGAAGGCGAAGGAAGGTATAATGGAAACCTGGACAGTTCCCCAAGTGCTCTCCTTCAGGATTGCACACAGCCAAGCTTACACAAACCCAAGGAAACGCCAGAGGGTGGGGCAAAGGAGGCGGGGAGGGGCAGAGATGTTTTCAGAAATTCGGGCTGTGTGTATAAACATTTATGGATGGATGAATGGATGCGTATTAATAACGAACTTGACTGGATTGTATTTTCTCAAAATGCTAATCTGGAGAGCAACTTCCAAGTCAGAAGCGACCCCATTTGACCCTCACACTCTGTTTAGTTCCGGCGGCGGACGCGGCGGCGGCAGCTACGGCGGCGGAAGTTCTGGCGGTGGAAGCCACGGCGGCAGTTACGGCGGCGGAAGTTCCGGTGGCGGCGGCGGCAGCTACGGCGGCGGAAGCTCCGGCGGCAGCCACGGGGGCAGTTCCGGCGGCGGCTACGGCGGCGGAAGTTCCGGCGGAGGTGGTCACGGCGGCAGTTCCGGCGGTGGCTACGGCGGCGGAAGTTCCAGCGGAGGCCAGAGCGGAAGCGGAGGGTTCAAGTCTTCCGGGTCCGGGGGCGACCAGTCGTCTAAAGGACCAAGGTCAGCAGAAATCAACTGGGGTAATCTGAATTAGTTTTAATTTTCTCCAATGGTTTTGTTGCTCTTTAAACTCAAGAGCTGATTTTAAAATAATGAAAATCTCCAGTTAGATTTTTATTTATGTTTTTAATAGACGTCAATTTTGGGAAAATCCCATCTACAGCTTGGAAACGATGTATTATCTTACTTTTGTAGTATTAGCTTGTTAAGCTAGGATCCCTACAAGTCGTTTCATCTAAGTTCTAATTTTTTTTCTATTCACAGATACTAACAAAACCAGAGTGATCAAGACGATTATTGAGGAGGTGACACCTGATGGTCGAGTCCTTTCGTCTATGATTGAATCAGAAACCAAGAAACACTTCTATTAAGCTGCGCAAAGAAGAGTCTCTTCACACAGGCCATTGCACAGACATGGGGAAAACAAAATGTCCAAGAAAACACTTCTGTCTTAATGGTCTACAGAAATAGGTTCACTCCTTGAGAATAAGGGTCTAAAAGGTGTTTAGTGGTTTCTGTATTTCTTCTTTTCATTTATCAGAAAGTGTTCTTTTGTGGAGAAAAAAGAAGAAAACTTTCTCATCTACTAATGAATTTCTCATTTACTAATGAATTTCAATAAACTTTCTTACTGATGCAAACTATCTAAATTTGTCAGAATTATTATTTAATTGTGTGGGTGTGCTCAGTCCAATAGGAGTAATGTGGGTGAAAAAGTCCATAATTCCCCCCAAAAGTTACATTTTCTAAAGCTACACAATGAGTGGAGAACTCCCTGCTCTCTGGCTTTAAATTGTTTCAACCTTGGAAATTTTGAAATCATCTCAAACAAGATTCCCAAAATAAAAGGAAGCTTCACAATCTATTATTTCTCATCATTTCTGATTGTATTTTCTTCCAATTATGACATTGGTTCTCAATTCTCATACACTATTTAAAGATATATCTTCCATCAAAAACATAACAAGCCGGGCGTTGGTGGTGCACGCCTTTAATCCCAGCATTCAGGAGGCAGAGGCAGGCGGATCTCTGTGAGTTCAAGGCCAGCCTGGTCTACAAGAGCTAGTTCCAGGACAGCCTCCTGGAACCTCCAGAAACCCTGTCTTGAAAAAAAAAAAAAAAAGAAATATAACAAAAATTCTACCAGTCCAACAAAAATCATATCAAAATTATTACATGGCCAGTAAAGTTATTTTGTGTGTGCCAAGTGATACCAGTGTGCCCAAACAGACATCTCTAAGTCTCCTGCTTTCCCCAATTCTTTTGTTATTGATGTGACCTTGTCCTTTCAGTATACACTGAACCAGTTAGACCCCAACGTGCTGGCTAGTTTTGTGTCAACTTGACACAAGCTAGAGTCATCTGAGAGGAGGGATCGAGAAAATGCCTCCCTAAGATGTAGGCTATTGGCAAACTTGTAGGCATTTCTTTTCATTAATGACTGATGGAGAATGATCCAGCCTGTTGTTGGTGGAGCCACCCCAGGCCAGTTGTCCTGGGTTCCATAAGAAAGCAGGCTGAGCAAGACATGAGGAACAAGTCAGTAAGCAGCTCTCCTCCATGGCCTCGGCATCAGCTCCTGCCTCCAGTTTCCTGCCCTGATTTCCTTCAACGATGAACAGTGGTAAGGAAGCATAAGCCAAATAAACCTCCTCAAGTAGTTTTGGTCATGGTGTTTCATCACAGCAATAGTAACTAACCGACAGTACTCTTCTTAGAAGTAGTAAAAGGGGAAAGTGTCACTTTGCTTCTGGATTGCCTATGTCCACTGAATAGCAACTTCGGCAACCTTCTTGATTTTAATACCAGTGTTTTTCAAGATCTGATTCCTGATCCCTTGCCATTTCTGTGGGACTCTACTAAATAAACCCTACCCTGATATATAACACACTTTAGAATGCATCCTCGGGGAAAGTGCCCTCTTCAGACAATGAGAAACAGACTTTCTTTTCATATCAAGAGTCTCTATTAGAGAAACTTTCTCAGTCTATATATTTTGAGGCTCCTTTGTCAATCTATGTACTTTTAGACTCCTTTGGTATACTAAATTGTATCCTGGTGTAAATCTAAACTAGATTATAATACTAGTAAGGAGAGAACTGGCTCTGTGTTAGGTTTCACTGTAAACTCCACCCTAGCACAGTTTTCAACACTAATTGTTAAAGCCCAATAAGTACTGGTTGAGCAACAAAATTAGTGAGTCATATCCAAATAAGTAAATGCAGTACCTCCCAGGGTGAACCCAGAAATGCTGGGGACTAAGAATAAAAAAATATTCACTTACACTGTATGACAATGCAAATGAGGCCAACTCTTTTATACAATTATTATGTGATTATTTTAAACACTTGTAAATAAAATGGAAATGATTCAGTTGAGCCAAAAAGGTAAAGGGTATCCATGACACCCAGGACCTTCCATATTCTAGAAGCTTGGTTAGCTATCTGCCTTCAGTACTTCTTTCCTCCAGTAATAGCAGCCCCAGTGTTACCAGATAATTGTAGAAGAGTGACAGACTATACCATGACCAGTAAGAATGCTTCCAAATGTGCATGTGGGGAGAATCATCCAAATGCCAAACAACCAAAGCAGTGGGGCACTCTGTCTCCTTGTTCCTCTGGCATTGAGAAGGTAAAGAGTGAAATGAACAGTCCCTTTAAGGAGGTAATAAACACCGTAAGCATTAATGCAGAGAACCCTCACACGTGGAGAAGAGGAGGACGGGGACAGCAGAAACAACCGTTGGAGAAAGGACAAGGCTGCTAACCATGTCAGGGGTTTGTTGTAAATTTGAGTATCGATGGTAAAATCTTTTCACAACCAATCCCAGGACCCTGCTGAATGAAAAAGAAGACAGAACCATGCCTAAGTGTGGTTGAGAAGAAGTTTTTATTGTAAATAAGTGGGAAAGCACAGTCCGAGACATCAGGAAGAATCCAAACTGGGCATGGTCAGCAGAATAGACCAGACCATGAGAAGAGAAAGGGGGAGAGTGAGAGAGGAAGAGAAGAGAGAGGAGCAAGAGAGGGGACCAGCATGGGGAGAAGGACCAAGAGGAGCACATGAAAAATGTGGCCAAGAGCCAAAGAGAACCATAGTGTGTGGCCAAAATGATGGTTACATAGGAAAGAGAAGCTGAGGAAAGGGAGGCAGAGCTCAGGGACTGGAGAGGTTTAGGCTAGGAGGCAGGGATGAGAAGTATTGAACAAGCCAGGATTCTGTAACAGGTACTTGCACTGCTCAGAGTTTCCACTAGTCATTTGTCCTGAGTTTCTTCCAGACTTTTTAACACCTACCCAGAGGAGAGTTTAGTGTGCCCAAGAATTTAATTCAGT